TTATCCAAGAAGAGGATTTTTTTTTTTTTTTTTTTTTTTTATCGTTTGCAACATAACCACAGTACCATGCCACCTAAGTAAATGGACTGCATATATTTAATCATATTAAGGAACTACTGTCGTTGTCCCGATTTCCCCCAGTTGTGTGCATCTCTCCGTTTTTTTTGGAAAAGGATACAAGAGCCTCCAGGCCCAAGATCCTGATCAGTGGGGCTGGGTGGGAGGAGACTGGACACTGTATTTTACAGTGTCACCGTGAACCCACTGCTTCCAAACACCCACGTCAAGCGGCTCAGTGCAAGCAAGGGTACGGGCATTCGTGCTGCCTTCTTGGGACTTTACACAGGACTGTTACCTCAGTCCAGTGGGTCAAACGCTGGACTGTTACCCTAGTCCAGTAGGAGAACATGCTGGGGGAGAGACAGCAGGCGATTAGGAAGGCGGCTCTAGGCTACAGAGAGCGAATGGCTTTTGCAGAACCGGAAACCCTAGTGCCCTCAAGGGTCACCGCCCCCAGCTGGCAGGGAAAAGCCTCCTGGAAGCCGTGACACCCAAGAATCGGCTCCAGGTTCCACCGCAGGGACAGGCCCCGCAGAGAAGGCTTTTGTTGAACGGCTGCTCAGGCGCCCAGCACCCCGGCTCCACCATCCCCGCAGCTACATCCCGAGCTTGAGGTTCCTCTGGTCAATGACAGGCCTCTGTCCCACCCCGTCGTGCTGTCCTGGCTCTTCCCAAGCCTGCTGGGTAAAGGGCCCAGGAGGTGGGGGAGAAAGGAGCATTTTTTTAGGGGAGAAAAAGAAGGCCGACAGGTATTTGTGACCCACTATCAGAACGCAGGAGCCTCAAGAACGAATCCTCAGACAGCCAAAACGGCTGACGCTTACACCTCCGAGACTATCAAAAGCGTGAAAAACCCCACTTTTCAAAACAAATTAGAAACGTTAACTCTACAGAAAGACCCTCCCACTACAGGCTTTCCCGGAGCCTCGCCCTCCACTGCTGCTTTCAAAATATTTACTTTACCCTCGTGCTCTGCTCGGCTCGCCGTCACCACAACAGGCTGGGGGAGACGGAGTGGGGGCCGTCTTCTGTCTTGTCCTCCTCCAAACCCTCCCCCCGCAGCAGCTAGTGAGCAGTGATAACAGCTCCCACCCCCATGCCTATATGTTCCTTGGGAGGCATCTGTAGAGAGTGCTGGGGAGATGCACAAAGAGGGTAGGACTAGGGGAGGCACAAGGCTTCGGGGCCACACAGGCGAGTCCCAGGCCTGCTGCCCACCGGCTGTGTGATCTTGGGCAAAATCCCTTCCCCTGTGTTACACACACACACACACACACACACACACACACACACACACACACACGCCTCGCAAATTCTAGGAGCTTAGAAAAACAAACCCCAAACACCGGAAACCTCGAATAAAAAACAGCTACTGTATGGTAACGACTGTTTCTGTTTAAGATTATGATTGACAACAAAAAGACTGCCCGAAGACTCAAAACCATCAAGTTACTTGGCTTTAGACATTTAGAATTTCTAGAAATTCAGTAAGAGGGCAAGACTCCTTTGAGCAAAGAACAACAAAAAAGTTGGCTGTTTTCACATCAGTCAAGAATTGAATGGGAGAAAAGACCCAACGGGCCTCCAAACACCAGCTCTCTAGCCCCAAAGAAACCAACACCCAGGGCAGTGATGAGGTGGCGGGTCAGGGAGAAGGTGGGATGTCTTCTGCCCCCCTATTCAAGACTTTCCTTCCCAAACAAAAGAAGACAAATGTGCCAATGCTCCCAGGGGCGGGCGCAGAACACAGCGTGTAAGGGGCCCGTGGAGCCGTCTCCATGCACCAGCCCCACGGATCTTCCGACGCCCAGATACTCACAGCTTGCTGAGGCTGTCAAGCCCTGTGAAAGCACCACTGGTGTCCTCGATTGTCCCCGAAATCTCGTTGTGGTCCAGGTCCCTGGGGAGGAGACAGACAAAAAGCTCACCATTCAGTCTGTGGCAGGAAGAGAGACTCACACCCATCCTGCCACCTTGAAGCTCGAAACATCTTGGTGAGTTCTAGGTGCCCAAATGGAACATCCAGTTAAGATTAGAGGCGTGGGCTTCCCTGGTGGCGCAGTGGTTAAGAAGCCACCTGCCTATACAGGGGACACGAGTTTGAGCCCTGGTCCGGGAAGATCCCACATGCCGCGGAGCAACTAAGCCCGTGTGCCGCAACTAGTGAGCCTGCGCTCTAGAGCCCGCAAGCCACAACTACTGAAGCCCGTGCGCCTAGAGCCTGCGCTCTGCAACGAGAGAAGCCGCACACCGCAACGAAGAGTAGCCCCCGCTCGCCCCAACTAGAGAAAGTCCACGTGCAGCAACAAAGACCCAACACAGCCAAAAGTAATAAAAAATAAATAAATAAATTAATTAAAAAAAAAGATTAGGGGCATGACCACTCAGCCACCCTGCTGTGAGAACTGGCTTTCTCAGCCTCGCAACACAGCTGACATAGGCCTTGGACTGGCAGCTTCCCAGCTGCATGTGCTGCTCCCCAGTGGGCAAACGCCAGGCCCCAGGGGAAGGGGTGTAGACGGCACAGGGGAGAGCCTGCTTTGGATTCTGCCCCCGAAGAGCGGACTTCTGGCCACTGCTCTGAGTCCGAAAGGTTCCCATCTGCTTTCACCCCAGCCAGGGTCCCTTTCCTGGACTTGGCCGAGAAACTGCAGAAGGCACGTGGAGGAAAGGACAGGGAAGAAAGAGGCCCCGGCACACGGCCCTCCCTAGTGGGTTTGGCGCCCAGAGCCCGTCTCCCCCCAGGGCCTGCACCGGTGCTGACTCCCAGCCAGGGACGACATCTGGGTGCTGAGTCAGACTGGTGACCCAGCTGCCAAGACCAGAGGACCAGGCCAACTTTTTGGCCCAGTCTCCGCCAACAACGCAAATGACAAGGCCAATGACTCAGCTTCCTCCCCCAGCTTCCAAGGGCAGGTCACCCCAGCGGGCAACACACCCCACCTGGCGACCAGGCCCCCGTGCTGCCCTGGGTTGGCCCGCTCCAACTTTCCACGAGCTCTGCCACACCTTCCCCTCCTGAGCCTCGGCAGACGCGGGCCAGGACCAGAAAGGATGCTGCTCTCGGCTCCCGTGAGCGCCAGCGGGGAGGGGAGCTCGGACCTTGGAGAGAAATGCTCATTCTGACCTTTACTTTACAAGCGGAAGCTCAGAGCCGAGATCCTGAGGCTGGAAGGGCCTCCTCCTTTCATCAGGTTCCTCCCATTATCTTGGTCCTGAAACACCCGGGACCCAGGGCTGCTGCTCTGTGTGCCTGTCTCCCTGCTCCGAGCCCCGGCTGCCAAAGGTTTTTCTCACTTCTCCGGCCTCCTCAGTCTGTACGTCCCGGCCTTGTCATTCAGCACTGCCATGGCTCCGAGGCTGACCTCGGCTTGAGCAGCCTGGCGTCCAGGCTCTTTCTCACTCCTCCATGACGGCCTGGCATGAAAGCCTTCTCTGCCGCCTCTGCCAAGCCCAAGTGCAAAGGCCTTCCTCCCCGTCATGCCGAAATAGGCCACTCTTTCTGCAGGGGGCACAGCTGGGAGGGAGGCCTCAGACCCCACGGCCACTGCCTGTTGAAATCCAGAAGCTCCCCCCCCCCACCCCTTTATGGCTGGTTGTTCTGTTGCCTGGAAGCTCTCGAAAGCCCAGAAAAGCCCAGAAAATTTTAAGTCCCAGAAAAGCACCCTGCAGCAACGCCTGGCAACTCCCTCCACCTCACGGGGAACTTCGAGGGAAATGACATGATCATCTCCATTGTGTTAAATGACCCTAAAAAGGCTCCGGGAGAGACACGGGATTCCCTCGTCACCTCTTCTGGAAACGGGCGTCCTGGATGCAGGCTATATGCTGAAGGAGTTGAGATGCTAGCCCAAGACACGAGCCTCAGGATTGCCCTGGCTCAGATAAAAGTACTCAGGACTGAAACATGGAAGTCGCAGCGGGAAGGCTCAGGATGGGAAAGACGGCCCCAAGGCTGCTGATGTGGGGGCGGCAGCGCGCAGCCTGGGGAACCTTTCCCGCTGCCGGACCCCACGTCCCGCCAAGCGCACTGCAGGAACCAGTGCGTGGTGATGACAGTTTTTTTTGAGTCGCCATCCCTCTAGGCACCACCCCGGGGGGGAATGAGGGACACTTTTCTGCTCAACTAGCTCTTTTTCGATTTATAACATGGAACTTTGAGACTCTGGCACACAGCACAGGTCAGCTTTGGATCTAATTGTGACTCGAGACCAATGAGAAGGGAATGCAGCGAAGCAGTCGGTGTGCTCTATTCTGCTCTCCACCAACTCAACGAGGAAAGACGTACAAGATGCGCAGGCTTTTGAGTCCCCGGAAGGCGCCTTCCGCAATGTGACTGATGGAATTGTGGCTGAGGCGTAGGATGCTCAAGCTACTCAGGTCAGCCAGGCTCTCCTCGTCCAGCCGGGTCAGATTATTGAAGGACAGAATCCTGAGGGAGGGGAGGGGAAAGCAAACATCACAATCAGGTTGCACGGCATTGCCCTCCCTCTCTTCTCCCGAACGGAGAGCCACAGTCGGCCAGTCACCTAGGTCCCAGTGGGAAGGGATACGCCCACGAGGATCCCGAGGGCAAAATGGTCTCACAGCTAGAAACCCACCAGGGCTTGATACCCATACATTTTGACTCCTGGAAGGAGGGCTGTAAACTGTGAGCACTACACAGCACAGGGTCATACAACAAAGAACCACAAGGCTCCAACCCCTGCAGGCACCCGGTGTCCATGGCTGGTCCTGATTCAAGCCATGACAGATCTCTCACGGCTGTGGCCTGACACTGGACAGGACGCCAGCGGGTTCTCATAGTGAGCAAGGGAGCCGGACAGCCTCCCAACATCGGCCAGCAGAGGGCACCACCAGCCACTGCCTGGAACAAGCCTTCCTCACTGAACTGCAGGCCTCACCTGGGCAGCACCCGGGGGACCAGAGTCTCCCATCCGGGCTACCTTGCCCTCACCCAAGCCAGCCTCTTAGCATGATCCCCCTACCATAAGTAAGGAACACAGCCCCAGTCACACACCTTCCCTGAGCATCAGAATCAATCTTTCTTTCCTCCCAGCACAGTCCCTGCATCTCTGACATAGCCCTGGGTTGGTTACTTAGCATATTAGTCATCTATCCTCAAAAAATGGAATCTCTGGGCTGGGACAGGAGGAAGGAAAATAAATTCGGAGAAGATTAGCAAGTTTTTAAAGGTAGCAGGGGGTGACAGCTTTTGTCTCCTGGAAAAATAAGTCATGGTGCCTGTCAGTTGCAGAGACCTGGCAGGAGATCAAAATTATATCCTCACCTGCAATTAAAGAATTTAGTTTAAAGGAGGGGCGGGACACACACGTGGAAAGCAACTCTAAATCTGGCTCCAAGGTTACCTGGGTGTCGGGCAAAAGGCTAGGCTGGTCAGGGGACACTCTGTGACCTTCTCTGCCCCTTTGGAAGGGCACAGGAGGCAGCCGGAGGGGGCACAGGGAGTGTGCACACACCCTCTGCGATTCAGAGCCTGTGCAAGTACGGGGCCTCCAGGGGCTGAGAAGACCTCTCCCGCTTCCCTGTGGCTCCCAGGCCTGGACAGTGGAAAACCACGGGTCCTGGGAGTTCCTTAAGCGGGGTCAGGGCCTGAGGGAAGAGTCTTTCAGAAGCCATCCCACGTGAGAATACCGTGCAAGTGCACTGGCTGGAAGGGTCAGGAAGCTAAACCCAAAGGGGGTTAACACACACACACACACACACACACACACACACACACACAATCCAAGGAAAGCCAGCCACAGGAAAGAGGTGGGACTATTGATTTCTGCATTAGGTAATGATGGACTCACTGAAATATAAACTCCAGGTCAGAGTGGGGTGGGTGGGGAACGGAGGGGGGGAAGGACGTGGACAAATAGATAAAAACACTATTGCTCCAAGACTCAGCACTAGGTTTAAACATCCCCTTAAGTTCGCCTGCTGAGGGCAAGAGACAGACAAGACAGACAGGCTTGGCACTTGGAATCATTCGCCTCAG